CTGCTGCGCTCCGTCGCGAAGGCCGCCGTCGCGAAGGCCGCCGCCGCCGAGCGCCGCCGCGAGCAGGTCGCAAAGCCGCCATCCGCGACGAGGACGCCCGCCAAGGCGCTGCGCAACGCCCCGCACGCAGCCAACTCCCTCACCCTGGAGCAGATCTCCATGCTGCGCCGCCGCACTGAGGGGCTGCCGTCCGCGCGCGCGCGCGCACAGATGGCCGGCCGCGCAGACGGCACCCTGCCGAGGCCCAGCACCACCGGCCTCCAGGTCAAGTACGTCCCCGGCAGCCGCACCGTCAACGGCGTGCGCCCGAACGGCTACACCGTCACCGCCGCCGGCGTCGTCAGGCCCGTGGCTACGTTCTGCCCCAAGCCCAAGCTCCCGCACAAGCTGCGCCAGACCTCGCTCCAGAAGATGTTCGAGGCCCTGCGCGACGTGCGCAAGGTCCCCGAGGGCGAGGCCCTCGCCGACGCCCTCAGGATCGAGCAGGAGACGTACGCGGAGAGCCCGGGGAGAGTGGAGTATCGCGCCGCCGTCACCGGCAAGCTGCGGGAGCTGAGGAGCGCGTGAGGAACACGGCGTGCATGGGCGTTTTTTTCTTTCTTTCTTTCTTTCTTACTTAACGAGACTTACTAAACGATTGAGGCTGAAACCGGGACGCCGGGCGCGACTCTATTCTACGTTAGTATACACTCGTGCGAACGACGGCGGCGGCGGCAGCGGCGACGAACAAAAACAGGGTTGCGGAGGGGGGGGCGATGGCACCGGCTTACGTGCGCTCGAGCGAGCCCGGCGGAAGCTTGGCAACCGCAGCCCTCCACACACGGTATGCGCCATCAGTGCCGTACAACCAGTCTGCCCATATAAAAGTGCTCGAGTAGTTGCCAGAGTGAACACGATGGTGGTGGTCATGGAACTCGGCGCCGCCATAGCCCGGAATCCACTTCCTCGGGCTGTACGGCAAGTCGTACCCGGAGTGGCACTCGACCGTCTGCACGGACCGCGCCGCGAGGTACACGTATATGGTAGCGAGGTGCGGGGAGATCAGCAGCGGGCCGAGCAGGGTGGCGAAGCCGAGGAACAGGACCTCGAACGGGTGCGCGTACTCCGCGGCGATGCCGAACGGCGCGGCGTGCACGTGGTGCACGGCGTGCACGTGTGTGTACAGGAAGGGGGAATGCAGGGCGCGGTGACCCCAGTAGAAGGCCCAGTCCTCGACTAGGAAGAAGAAGGCCAGCTGGAGCAGGAGCGTCGGGAGGGACGGCAGGGCGGAGGGCGACGTTTCGCAGCCGAGCCAGGAAAAGAGCGGGTGCGAGAGAAGGATTATCGGGAGGACCAGCAGGACGTGGTTGAGGAGGACACGCGAGGCGCAGTGCGCGATCGCGGACCGCGTCGCTGGCTTGGAGGGCTGCAGCTTGTAGCGCGTGAAGGACGGCATCAGGTCCAGCACCAGGAACGGCAGGTACGTGCCCCAGTAGAACACCTCGTGCAGGATGAACAGGCCGTACGTCGAGAGGAAGGAGGGCGAGGAGTGGGCGAGAAGAAGCGTCCACATCGGCGCTAGGGGCGACGACGCCATGGTGGGGTGGGACGGGAGGGGGAAGGGGCGAGGGGGGGGCTGCGGCGGATGGGGAGGAGTCCAGGAGGAGGTGGTGTGGGGAGAAAGGCAATTTTGAGGTGCGCATCACTCATCACCGATCCCGCAGACTGGAGCGATGTGCTCGCTGCCTCGTGTCGTCGCTGTCCTGCTGCCTTCGCACGCGACAAACCCGCTGCCGCGCTGCGTCGCGCGAGCCCGCCGCCGCATCTCGGCGCCCCACCCCGCCCTCCGCCATGCCGATGCCAGCGACCATGGCGGCCTTCCTCCCCCCCTGACATCTCGTCCTTGATGATGCAAGTGCGCTCTTGTTGCGGGGTAGGTGCGCGCGCGTGGGTGCGCGCGCGTTCCGCGCTCCCCGCTTCCTTGCTGCACCCCGCGTTCCCGTGGCATTACACATAACTTTACCGTATCCCGTTTCAAGTTTCAGCACATAC